GGGGGCCCCATGAGTTGTCAGTCCGCCCCTGCGTGCTTGAGATAGTTTGGAAGAACTTATGGTGTGTGGAGTGTCAGAACCCATAAAACATCTCTTCAATCTTGCTGAAAAAAAAAATCTGAAGCCACACAAATCTCTATTTCTATATCATAGTTGCTCTCGCAGATTAGCCGGAGACAACAATGGCCCTATTTACTGAGGTGTGATTTATGATAGTGTTGTATCATGTAAGAGGTGGGAAAAAAACTCTCAGGTTTATGGCAGATGGAGTTTATGGTTCAACAAAAAAAGATAAGGCTCTGACTTCTCAGCATATCATCTTGTTTGAGGTGTAAACACTACATTTTTTCTACTGTCTCCAGCCAGATGCTCCATGGTGCTTAAGTTTTATTGGAAGATAAAATCAAAAATCTATGACCAACAAAGCACCTTTTTAGAACTTTTTTTTGTGTGACAACTTTAATAAAAAAAACCTCACCATTATTAAACAAAGATTTCACGGTTCACATCCTTATTCTGCTTTGCTTTGGGGCATGAGATGCCGTGCTACAGATGTTGCTCATAGCAGATGTTATTTTTTTCTTGTTAGTTACCTGAGAATTGACTAATAAAAATATGCCCCGCCCCCCTAAAAAAAAAAATCTCTGTTTCCATCCTTTTACAGTTGAATATATTTTTATTTCCATTTTCGAGGAAATATCTTGCTTAACATAGACAGAAGCAAGTCAAGTTCCATAATAACAAAAATAAAGAAGCGACCAGAAGACATCAGGAGATATTATCATTTCACAACAAATAATTCAGTTTCCATCCCTTTGATGACTGTAAAATTGTATTTTTCCTTCGACACTCTTCATTATAACAAATACGCCGTCTTTAACTTTGTGCAAAAAAAGTGTGCAAAAGGCTGAAATCTTTGATAACATACCCATTGTATAATTATTATTATTCAAGGATCAGGCCCTCCTATCCCTCTTGTATTGAACTGTATTGTCTCCCGTTATATTATAAAGTGCTGAGCAAACTGTTGGTGCTATATAAATCCTGAATAATAATAATAATAATAATACACTATACTCCTGACCCCTGCAAAGTATTCACCATGTTATCTCTTAGATTGTAAGCTCCCAGGATCAGGCCCATCCTAACCCTCTTGTATTGAACTGTATTGTTGCTGTATTGTCTCCCTTTATATTGTAAAGCGCTGAGCAAACTGTTGGCGCCATACAAATCCTGTATAATAATAATAATAATACACTATACTCCTGACCCCTGCAAAGTATTCACCATGTTATCTCTTAGATTGTAAGCTCTGAGGAGCAGGGCCCTCCTATCCCTCTTGTATTGAACTGTATTGTTGCTGTATTGTCTCCCGTTATATTGTTAAGTGCTGAGCAAACTGTTGGCGCGATATAAATCCTGTATAATAATAATAATACACTATACTCCTGACCCCTGCAAAGTATTCACCATGTTATCTCTTAGATTGTAAGCTCCCAAGATCAGGGCCCTCCTAACCCTCTTGTATTGAACTGTATTGTTGCTGTATTGCCTCCCTTTATATTGTAAAGCGCTGAGCAAACTGTTGGCGCTATATAAATCCTGTATAATAATAATACTACACTATACTCCTGACCCCTGCAAAGTAGTCACCATGTTATCTCTTAGATTGTAAGCTCCAAGGATCAGGACCATCCTAACCCTCTTGTATTGAACTGTATTGTTGCTGTATTGTCTCCCATTATATTGTAAAGTGCTGAGCAAACTGTTGGCGCCATAAATCCTGTATAATAATAATAATAATAATAATTATTATACAGGATTTATATAGCGCCAACAGTTTGCGCAGTTATATATAAGGGAGACAGTACAATACATTTCAGTACAGAAGGAATATGAGGGCCCGGCTCGTGGAGCTTACAATCTAAATGATACATTTAACCCTCCCAGGCTCATTTTTATTATTAATTGAACCTTAGAAAAATCGTAGCTACTTTAGAAAATATTTAATGCTACCTCTTTAAAAATGAAAGGAAAAAAAATCCCAAAGTTGTTTTAAGTTTATTTTTTAAAAGGTGTTAATTTATGATTTTTCACCTAACGAAAAGGAAGAACAGTTGAACATCCATCAGCACCACATCTTTAAATTCATTTTGAACTAATTTTTTTTAAATATATTCCTAAAAGGAGAGCTACATAGAAGAGTGAAACACAAAGTGGTCCATTTGGTCTGACTCACTTTTTATCTTTTTTTATTTGTTTATTTTATTTTTTTTTCTTTTCTCCTGATATTCCTAGATTGTAAGCTCCAAGGATCAGGGCCCTCCTATCCCTCTTGTATTGAACCGTATTGTTGCTGTAATGTCTCCCTTTATATTGTAAAGCGCTGAGCAAACTCATATAAATCCTGTATAATAATAATAATAATATTTACCAAGCATGTTTAAATTCATTCACTGTTGATTGACTTACTACCTCTACTGGAAGTCTGTTCCATGCATACACTACTTTTTGGTTATATTTGCCTTTACTGAGAGAGTTTCATAATAACATTCTATAAGGAAATAGTTTGTGTATAGACTGGGGTTTTTTTATTAACAAGTATCAGTGCCGTTCAATTTATCATATTGAATGCAGCAGATCCAGGTGTGGGCCTTATCACATCGGGGTGAAAGGTGCCCCACTGCTTTAAATGGAGAGAAAAATCAGGTTTTATTTTAATCAAAATATCTAATATTGTTTCATCTTATAATTTATTTTTGTCATTTAAAGCTGCACAATTTTTAATGAAATGTACTTGTCTAAACAAATGATATTTTTTGTAATGGGAATTATTTTCAGAATACGGAGATCATGAGGAGCTTTTGACCAAAGTTTGGTTTACTTTCAAAAGTAAACCAAAAAAGTAAAATCAAATAGTAGAGCTAAAAATTATGACATTGGCTTTTTTTTTGGGAGTCATGTCCCAGAAATCTTTTCTACTTTAAAATTGTTGCAAGATACAGTTTTGGACGATGTCAGTCATTTCTATTGGCGTGAATTTCATAATTACTGTCTACCATATTATTATTGTAATTAATAATAATACAATTATTATTTTTATTGTTGTTATTATTAGTATTATATTCAAGCAATAATAATAAAAACATAATAAAATTAAATACCTCATAACTGTCTGGCAAAAATGCATATATGAATAAAAAAAAAAACCCGCGCCAAAAAATATTTAACTCCTAAACCGATGCTGCTGCTCTTTTTTGACAAACCATCAAACAAAATAAATGAAAATGAAAAAAATCAACTTCATTAATAACATGTGCATTTTTACGAAAATAAAAAACACAGCACAAAAAAAATATATACATATAAATAAATAAAATCAAAACACTTAAATAAAAAATCTTAAATAAAATATGAAATAATGTCCAAATAAAAGTGCAAAAATGAAAGTCCCAATCCAAAGAATATTTGGTGAGTGCAGTATATGTTGGTTATCACGGAGGGTGTTAATACACTGAAGTTTTCTGCATACAGCACTTTTTTCATTTATTTTTTGGAGCACATTGGATTTAAGATTTCTTCATTCTTTGGGTTGGGACTTTTATTCTTGCACTTTTATTTGGATATTATTTCATATATCATTTAATATTTTTTATTTAAGTTTTTTTATTTTATTTATATGTATATATATTTTTTGCGCTGTGTTTTTTATTGTCATAAAAATGCACATATGTTATTAATGCAGTTGATTTTTTTTTATGTTACTCTAGCTGAGATTTCACAGACGACTCGTTCTGTGCAAGGCGATCCAGACGCTGAAATCTATGCCACATTGTCCTAATCTGCATTTGTACAAATCTGGGTCTGAAGTTGACTTTAACTATCGTTTCGTTCATCATTCTCACTGTGTTCAAATTTGCAATGCTATAGAGCTCCTATTATTTTCTACTGAACGGCAACCATTTTTTTAAGTGTAGAAACTACAAAGGACCTTAATTTATTTAATGTGTTTATTTATTTGAAGTCAGTATGTTTTGAGGGGGTGGGGGTTAAAATCTGCAAATAAACATTTTTTTTTAATTTAATTATGTATTTGGTGGTTTCTGAATGAAATCTTGGTATGTTACCAAATTGGTCCCAATGTTCGTCACATTTCACATAAGAGACGGCTGTGTCTCTCCTTTGGATTTGCTAAGGGTTAATTTTTCTAGACCGCTATGACCTGCAGAATCGCTTGCACCCTCTACTTGTGGCTAAGTATAGCTTTTCCTTACAGTAGCTTACTTGAGTAGGATAAATATATAACTATTTCTAGTATATATAGCAATGCATGGCATCTCTCTCTTATAAGGAACATTCCTTTTAAATCGTATCTGTTCTCACAGGAACTGTATCTGCTTCCCTCCATATTAATTGGACATAAGACCCAATCACACCACAATGCAGCATGCTGCACAGGGTTCATTGCTTTAACCACTTCATGTCTGGACACTTTCCCCTCCTTCCAGTCCGGACACTTTCACCCCCTTCCAGTCCAGGCCAATTTTCAGCTTTCAGCGCTGTCACACTTTGAATGACAATTGCGTGGTCATGTAACACTGTACCCATATTTTTTTTAGCATTTTTTTGAGACAGATAAAACTTTATTTTGGTGGTATTTATTCACCACTGGGATTTTTTATTTTTTTTGCTATATAAATGAAAAAGTCCAAAAATTTTGAAAAAAAAAAAAAAGTGTTTTTCTTATAAAAACGTTGCAAATAAAAAATCTTTCTTCATAAATCTTGGCCAAAATTTATTCAGTTATCTTTTTAGTAAAAAAAAAATAGCCCAAATTAGTTTATAACCAAAAATTATAATTTTTCTAAATTTTGTTTACATTTTTCTTTTCTTTTTTTATATTATTATTTATGTTTTTTTTTTACATACTGTCACCCTAGCAGTACAGTATCACCATGGTGACACTGTACTAGTTGTGGGGGGTGATGAAGATTTTTTTTTTTTTGTTTTACACTGATTGCTTTTACACCCATAAAGGCTGTAAAAGCAATCATTTATCATTCTCTCAGGGTGCATTCCTGCAGCCATTGAGAACTACTGTGAGAGCTGTGATTGGTCACAGCTTGTCATATGGTACAAGGCTGTTGTGAATAGCCCTGTACTATGTGACCTCTGTGATCATTCACTACTCTTCATCTGATCACTGATTGGCCAATCAGTGATCACATGATCGGGACCTCGTACAGAGGTCCCGTCCAATGATCGGTGTGCCACTGTGTCCGGAGGACACAGCTGGCACCGGATCGCAGTGCTGCACGCTCCCAGGGAGCGCGCACAAGCAGGAGGCGGGGAGGCCATTTATAAACGCCCCTGCACTGCTCCCGTCTAGCCGTTTACATACATGGGCTGGACGGGAGGTGGTTAAGGGCTAGTTCACACTAGATGCAGTTCAGTGCGCTTTTTTTCCACATCAAAAATGCATGCACAGTGTTTTCCATGTATTCCAATGGGCTTAGTTTACACCACTGCAGTCAGTTCCATTCAGTTTCCGGTGCAGAAAAAAAAAAAAGTAGTACATGCTGCATTTTTTTCTACACAGAACCGTACTGGAACATAGAAAACTGCATCAAAACTGCACCGGAACTCCGTGTGGTGTGAACTGTAAGCAAAAACGTATCCGGAATGCATCCGGAGTGCATCTAGACTGCACTTTTGTGGTGTGATCCGGCCCTAAGGCCCACTGAATAAGGCAGCCAGTAAATTTTTAATATGTATATTTTATAGGGTGTGCTTGTTAGAGCCCAACCTCTGTAGGTGTAGGATAAAGGTGCCAGATGGATATCAGGGATGGATGGATTGGAGCAGTAACACTGAGGCAGCTCTTCTTAGACTGGAAGCAAGGCTCCAATGCAGTAAACATGAAAAGGAGAGGAAGACGCCGCTAAGTGCAGTATTGACAATTTAGATATTTATTGGTGAACAATAGCTGTAATCGCACAATTTTTTTTTCATTTGAGGCCAACACAACATGCAGAGCGCATGCATCCACGCATTGTGTTATAGGACTGGTGTGTGCTGGGGTGCAATTCACTTTAAGCCCGGGTTCACATTCATCGCATGTGATTCACACAGGAACCGCACCACATTCCTCTGCAAATCACATGCCATTTGTGTGCGGTGCGATTTTGGGGTGTTGTTAACATACATACCTGCAGCGGTTCACATGATCGGGGTGCGATGCAGAATTCGCACAGAAAACAATGCAAGTTCCACACTGCATCAGTGTGAACCAGGGCTAAATGTCAAGGAACCGCACTACACGGGATAAGTTTTAATGCATTGCCTTGTGGTTTGAAATTATCCCTTGGCTGCCATAAAAAGTACATGGCAAATGAAATATGCAGCTTCCTCTTTTTTTATTTATTTCAGGTACTTATATAGCGCCATCAATTTATGCAGCACTTTACATATATATTGTACATTCACATCAGTCCCTAACCCTCAAGGGGCGTACAATCTAAGGTCCCTAACCCTCAACGGGCGTACACTCTAAGGTCCCTAACCCTCAAGGGGTGTACAATCTAAGGTCCTTAACCCTCAAGGGGCGTACAATCTAAGGTCCCTAACCCTCAAGGGGTGTAAACTCTAAGGTCCCTAACCCTCAAGGGGTGTACAATCTAAGGTCCCTAACCCTCAAGGGGCGTACACTCTAAGGTCCCTAACCCTCAAGGGGTGTACACTCTAAGGTCCCTAACCCTCAAGGGGTGTACACTCTAAGGTCCCTAACCCTCAAGGGGTGTACAATCTAAGGTCCCTAACTCACATTCATTCATACACATACTAGGGACAATTTAGACAGGAGCCAATTAACCTACCAGAGGAAGGTTAACCTGGAGGAAACCCATGCAGGCACAGGGAGAACATGCAAACTCCAGCAGGTGGTGCCGTGGTTGGGATTTGAACCAATGGCCTTAGTACTGCCAGGAAGAAGTGCTAACCATTTAGCCGCTGCGCTCCCCATAGAACTAGAAGCAAAAGAAAAAAAAAAGTCAATTGCTTGATCCAATCCTATTTGTGGTGTGTATGTGTGGTAGCCTCAGACAGTGCTGCTCCACAAACCACGCCCCCAGCGCATCTCACTCCACCCATTGGGGGCCTAGTCAGAGGAACCTCTATGACTAAGCCCTGACGGGCGGGGCAAAATGCATCGGTGGGCATGGTTTGTGGAACAGCATTGTCTGAGGCTACCAGATATACACACCACAGCTAGGACCGGGTCAGGTGAGCTGTGTGTTTTTCTTCAACTTCTATTCCTCACTAAAGGTCCGTATGAGTAAATAGTTTTGAAATATTGGTTATACCAATAAATACTGAAATTAAGATTGAGGTTTTCCAGAAGCTCCCCTCTGAATTATGGAAGCCTCCGAGGTGCACAAAGGAGACTGCGAAGGTATAAAGGTAGAGATGCTCGGAGTGTGACTCCAAAAAAAATTATGCCGTGGTTGGGATTGGAACCAGGGACCCTAGTACTGCCAGGCAGAGGTGCTAACCATTTAGCCACTGTGCTCAAGTTTTATTCTGGTTCCAGGCAGTATAATAAAAAAGGTGCTTGAAATACAGCATCAGGCATATACAAGAAACACACAATGCACAGCATGAGACATACTGTATATCTCAAGTATGTAAGGCAAGAGAAACCAATTGTCTCAAAAGCTACCGCATGCATCAGGGCAAACATTAGCTGGATGAGGGACAGCCCATCCATACAGTGTTAGGAGAGTCCCACTGCCTGATGTACACAAGAGAACTCTATAAAAGGGAAGAAAAGAAGAAAAAAAAAGGGGGGGGGGGGCAGTTCACACCAATGAACACCTGGGTAATAAAGAGTACAGAAAATAGGGGATAAAACATAATGCCTATCTAAGTCAAAACAGGCAAAGAGAGTATCATGAGATATTAGGGGATGTATCTGATCATCTGGGATCTTTGCACAGAAGTATTGCCAACCCATCCATACATTTCTAAATTTCTCTTGCTGATTCCTAACTATGTGCACCCAACATTAATGGCATCCACTTCCAGAAAGTGTAGGAGAGGTGGAATTAGGGACTTTGACGCACACAGCAAGTAAGGCGTTACGCTCCTTTTATAGGCCTTCATAGAGGACGGGATCTCGTTAAACAGGGATGGAAAGGGGAGCCATCAATTGGTCTAAAGGACGTTCTCTTTATCCAGGGTGTGATGGCTTCTCAAAAAATTCATCTTCAGACAAGACCACCAGATATAAATGAATGTGTCACGTTGGGCACATCATATGCAGCTTCCTTTTACAGAAAAAACAGCAATACTGCAAGAACTACAGTGTGCACTCCTGGTATAGTGTATAGGAAACAGGTTGTACGCTGTCTCTGTTGTCAGCTCAACCCCCCCATCCCATTTTTCTCATGTAAGATTGATCAGTGGAACACTTTGTCAAATTCATACAAGGAAACCTTCAATTTTGGCGACCACTGGCTGAGCATTTGACTGATCAGTTTGTAGTTGGTTACTTTGTGATCAGTTTAACTAAACCGGGCTGTACGTTGTGTGATCTTTCTAGTAATTTATGAACATAGAATGGCAATTAGGTAGGCACACCCATGGTGTTTGGGTCCCAGGAGGCATATCCTTTGCATGTATCTCTATATTTAAGTTGCCTTTCTTCAGGTACCTCGAATTACCTCCTCAATCCAGGACCATACGGATAGTCTGACAGGTTCTCGCCCAATGTGTATGCATAACTGTATGCTCATAGAAATGCTCAGAGTACAAATGGTTCTTACTTTACCATTACAGGCATCTCCAATATATGAATGTAGGAATCAGGGGCGGACTGACCATTTGGAAACTCGGGCACTGCCCGAGGGCCCGGGGTCAGTAGGGGGCCCCATGAGATGCCCCTGGTACCTTTTTCATAGGCTTTTTTGAGTGTGGGCAAGGACACAGGGGCCCCATGATCCCCTATTGCCCGGGGGCCCCATGAGTTGTCAGTTCGCCCCTGGTAGGAATATATGCTTAAACTACAGATATTATGCTGGCCTATTAATTAGATATGTAACTGAGATCTAAGCAGAAGCAATGTGCAGTCATTGAGTTCTTGATGAAGGAGGGGTGAAGGCTACAGAATGTTTACAGAGATGATACCAGTGTCAAGAGCAGTCATTGTTGACTCTTGTCAATGGTGTCATCTCCATACACGTTCTATAGCTTTCTGTGGATGTTGGATAGCCTTCACCCCCCCCCCTTCATCAAGAACTCAATGACTGCACATTGCTTCTGCTTGGAATCTATTGTTTATCTGTAATGAAAAAGAAGAACAATTACTATACAGGAAGAGTTAAGCCGGCCGTAGACAGAGCGATTTTCTTTCCTGCAACCAGTGGTGTATTTAGGTTTCATGCTGCCCTAGGCAATACAAAAATCAGCCCCCCCCCCCCCCCACGGAGAGACCCTGACACCGACCAACACCCCCTCCCCCACGCAGAGTGCCTGATATTGACCAACAACACCACAGCACCCCCACCCGAGAAGAGAGCCTTCCACTACCACTGCCCCCCATACACTGGCAACCAGGGGCGGACTGACCATTTGGAAACTCGGGCACTGCCCGAGGGCCCGGGGTCAGTAGGGGGTCCCAAGAGATGCCCCTGGCACCTTTTTCATAGGCTTTTTTGAGTTTGGGCAAGGACACAGGGGCCCCACGATCCCCTATTGAGGGCCAGGGGTCAGTAGGGGGCCCCATGAGATGCCCCTGGTTCCTTTTTCATAGGCTTTTTTGAGTTTGAGCAAGGACACAGGGGCCCCATGATCCCCTATTGCCCGGGGGCCCCATGAGTTGTCAGTCTGCCCCTGCTGGCAACCCCACCCCGGCGAGAGAGAAGACACTCACCTTCACAGCTCCGAACATCCCCGGGAACAAGAGTCAAGCTTTGCATACACCATCAAGCAGCCCGCAGCCTCTCTCAGATCCCACCTGGTCCCCATGCTGTGTGTGTCTCTTCTTCCATTCCTTCTTTAGGGGGGCGGCGCTGCCCCCCTGAAAAATGCCGCTGCCCCCTGAAAGATGCCGCTGCCCTAGGCAAATGCCTTGTTTGCCTTGTGGTAAATACACCCCAGCTTGCAACCTGTGTTGAGGGGGGAATCCCTCCCGCGAAGCCATTGTGTTCTCCCAGTGACAGGAGTTGTCCCCGCTGGGAGAACAGATTCCCCAGATTCCCCCCAAAAAAATTCTCCCAGATTCCCCAAAAAAAGGAAATTGCCTTATTCCACTTTAGCAAATTGCAATGGAATGAGTGAGGAAAACTACTGTAAGTTAATACTAGAAG